AAATTTGAGCAAATAAAAATAGAACTGAATTGAATTAAATAAGAAGATGTGAAACTAAACTTTACTAAGAAAAAAGATTCAAAACCATACTTGACTGAATGCTTAAATCGCCTCAATCAATCTTTTTTATATTTTGTTCAACTATCTTAGAACTTTCCAGAATATCCTTAATAATAGGCTCTACCAAAATAACTGCCTTTCTAAAAAATTTAGAAGTAGGTTCTACCATGATAACCGCCTTAAGCCTTTCTAGAAGGTTCTATAGTGGATCCTATCTAGTTAACCGCCTTAAGTCTTTTTTAGAATATTTTATAGTGAACTCCACCTAAATAACCATCCTAAGCTCTTTCTAGAATGTTCCATGGTGGATCCTATATAGTCCATTAACCTAATCTCAATTCTAGAAACTTCTATAACTTCTCAAATATGATTCCAACTATCTATTTCTATGTGTCAATAATACAAATATCTTATCTATATCCTATTATAGTTAAGGTATAAGTATTAAAAGAATTTTATATCAGTATAGAAATCATTTTTCTTTCTTTTTTTTTTCTTTTTTTTTTTTGCATTTTCCAAAAGCAAGTTGGAGGTCACAAGAATGTAATAATGAATTATTATGATTAATATTATTATGTCTTATAGTTGTAGATATTATTGATTTTAATAAATATAGTATATTAAAATAGATACATATAAAAATGATGTTTTAATATTACATTATTTTTAAATTTTTGGAACATATTTGCAACTTTAAAAAAAACAAATTAATTGTGAAATAGATTTTGTATGATGGATTTTTTCAAATAAAATTTAGTTGAAGTATAGGATAAAGTTTTTAAAACCACTTTAATCACTTTTAAAAGTCCTTATATTTAATCATCTCAATTATTGAATTAAATGTATTTTAGTAGTTATATATTAAGTTTTTATTTTAATGTAACATTGTGATTGAATACCAATACAATAAAGTTTGATTTATAAACTTGTCCTTAAGATCTACATGCATCCTTTATAGATTTCATACTTTTAAAGATTTATTATATTTGATAATAATTTCAAAGCATCTAAGTCTCCAACTTCTATGTGATGCAAGTCTTCTAAGATGCTTAGAATCTCTTACAAAAATAGAGACCTTATAACAATCTTTTGAAAAAACAAATTATGCTTGTTAATGCATTTTACAAAGATTTAAGAGCCTTCATACTATATGGCCATGACTACAAGGATTGAGTTTGTAGATCATTTACATTCAAAGAAACAAATCCTTATTGATACCAAAGTATATCACATTTATACCAAGGCATTAATTTGGACAAGCTTAATTGAAGATGAACAAATTCTTCAAAAGGTATGCAAAAAAACAAACAAACAATAAAAATGAACTATGATTGGTATAAGAGACAATATTACAGTTAAATAAAACTCAAGAGTGCTTCAAAGTGGCTTTAATCCACAACATGATGATGATAATAATAATAATAATAATAATAAATAATGTAAAATAAAATCATTACATTAATTTAATTACTCTTACATCCAAGTAATAGAGATATTAAGATGTAAGTTTACTTTAGAAAGCATCAATTATACCCTGGTTTGTGGTAACAAAACAAAGCATACAATACAAACAAACAAACAAACACAAGACTCAACTGAGAAGCAGCACTAGCCAAGGTGGAGTATCTGATGTGAGTGAGCTATCCATCTATAGGGCTTTTCCAGTGAAGCACATCGAATTCATCGCATTCTGTATCGGATTCCGTCGATTCTCCGCCAAGAGCAAACCGAGCAAGACGCCGCGAGGGGCTCAGCATCACCGGAACCCAGCCCCACGACCCATCTCGCGCTGAGTCGAATCCTCAGCGCATGAAATCACGGCGCCGTGACTCGGTGCCGATTCATTTCTCGATGCCCTTCGACGAGGTCTCCATTCCTCGCAGGGGAAGGGGTTTCCGAAGCCTCGCTGAGGCTGTCAGATCTCACGTCCGCGGCGTCTTCCCACGAACTACCCGGACACAGATCAACGCTTGTCGGTAGACTGGATTAGTCGGTAACTTCGATTTTGTCGAGGATGGATCCGAGATAAGCGATAGCAGCACCATGCTCCAAGAAGAATTATCCTTCATTGTTACCAGGTTTGTTAATGGTTGATGAATGGTAGGTTATAAATGGTTCATCGGTAGTTGATAATAAAAGGATATGGAAGAAGGAGGAGGGTTTGAAAATACTTGGAGCTCAACTGTAGACGTTACAACAATCAAGGCGACTTTATAGCATTACATGTTTTAGGGAATATTAAAAACTTGGTAGGGAAGCAGTTTTTGAATTCCTGAATCATCTTTAGAACAATTGTTGATGAGCCTTTGAAAGTGTTGAAATTGTGTCATGGGGCATTTATGACATGGCCCACCTGTTGGCTGCTTTAGGATTTTTATTATTTTAGAATATATGGTGAGTGTTGAGACAGACTGCTTTTGGTGGATTTATCTATTAGAAGGCACTACGTTTTATTTTATTTTTGTATGATCCTACTTCTAATCTTCAAACTTTCACGTCAACTTTCAAGGAAAGTCATTTATTTGATGAAGACTAGATAAAATTCTCTCATCCATTCTCTAAACCTATTTCGCAGCATAACGGGTACACGTATTGAATTGTAAATCCTTTTACTTTTTGTGTACTTTTTAATTTAGCTTGAGTGGCAATTGAATACATAAATAGGGGGCGTCAGATACGTTGAATATAGTGGGGACGATCCTCCAGTTGTTCAACGACTAATATTACATGGCCACTATTGTTTTGGCTACCAAGGTTAAAAATTAATTATCTAGTTACATCCTTGACCAATTAAGTTGTACCACTTCAGCGGAATCTAAAGTTATCTTGGTTACATAGATGCACAAGCCTAATCATTTCCACATCTTGCATATTTGTTTACCCAGTTGCACACTTCAACACATTTGTGTTTTCAAAATACAATCCTTTTCCTTTTATTTATTTATTTAATATTTAAGCATATTTATTCGCATATAGTAATCATAAAATGGAGGAGGAAGTAGTCCATCAAAAAAAGCACGCAAAAAGTAAAAGGATTTGCAAAACAACCATGATCGTTGACGAAACTGACCTACTTTATTTCATCACAAAGCATGCACCGAATGACATTTGGAGCTATATTTTCATTCATCAACGCCCGCGAAGATTGAGCTCCCATCGGGAACGGACGGACGAACAAACCAATGGCTTCGATGTACTAATTATTAGAACGTGCTTTTCGATGGGGGGGGGGGAGATGCTTGTTTCCTTCTTTATGTACTCAATTTTTGTATTAAAAAAACTTCGATTTCAGAGTTCAACCAATGAGTAGAATGTTTCCTTGAGGAACGTCTGAACGAATTCGGGAATCCTTGATTTCTACAGACAGCCAACTAAGACCCTTAAAGGAAATTAAAGTAGCTTTAAATAGACTTAAACGAGAAAGAAGAAGACAAAAAGAAGAGATCGCGACTGCAGGTCAGTAGGGGGCGCCATCGTGGTGACGACATTGTGAGGTGGATGAACGTGGAAGCGGATCTTCGTCATATGGATATACATCCATCGATTAATGTAGACGAAGTGGTCGTCGTGAGGTCTGATGCCACGTAGGTGGATGCATTGTCCACGTAGACATCGTCCATCTTGGTACTGCTGATGTGGCAGGCGCGATTCCCTCTCTGGCTTCCAACTCGACAGACAGGTGGCGCCTGCTTGTGCTGAATGGACCACTTCCTCCTCCATTGCTCAAAGCAATTTTTAATGTACAGAGTGGTAATGGCTCCAGTACAACTTTACTATGTAAATGAAACTTTAGATTTTTTTTTCATCATTTATTGCATGTCATGTGAAAGTTCTTTATACAAATGAGGTAAATTAAAGTGGTATTGTTTTGCTCTGGAAGGTGTATGTATTTTTATTCCTACACAAATTATTCACTCTGACATGAACCTCTACTGTTTCATACGGACATCAAGTAATTTTTTAATGAAGATTTTATGATACATTCTAATAATTAATAATGTCAATACATGACTGTGTAATAAGTCTGTTGCAACACTGAGTTATTATTTCCATGCGTGTATAAATAGTTTGTTAATCTACCTTTAAAGGTATGAAAAGTATTTAGTTATTTTAATAGTAGTATGTGTAAACGAAGGTTAGTAGGTACTATTTAGATTCTAACAACAATGTAATTCATGGTGCTGAAAGTAAAACAAAAGGACACTTCCATTTGAAAAAAATAGGATTCAGAAATATACCTCAAGTAAAAAAGGACATGGATCACAAGATATGAATGTGCCAACAGTAATAATGTCTCCAAGTACAGTACTAAAAATCCACACATATCATATGAATGATTTCAGATCGTTTCACATTATCCCTTTTTTATTTTATTTTATTTTTTTAATACGTATGAAATCCACACATTTGCAATCCAAAGGTTTGATCGAGGAGGATTAAATATGAAGATCCTATTGCTAAAAAATCTGGGTGGATCCATAATTCAACAACAAATCAAAGTTGTAAACTTTGACGATGGAAAAGATGCAAATAAATCCACTCTCACGCCCACCGTTATGTTTAAAGTTTTACTTTACAACTGTTCAAATCAACAAAACAAAACAAAGAAAAAAGAAGAGAGAGATCGTGTTGGGCCTCATGGATGTACACCAGCGACTTTTACACGTCCCCCACGGCGCGACATGCATCATATGTTCATCCATTCAGCGCATATCGGCTTCACATCCTGGAACCCTCACCATCCAGAGCTGCAAGAGCCGCCGTACCAGCTCACAGCGTAACAAACTAAATCCTTTAGAAACAGGGGGTCTTCCGTATGACTTGAATTGGACTTGGGTCCCGTATGTTGTTGCGGAAGACCGAGACCAAGACCAACCGCTGTTCAAGTCCAAGACTTGGACCCCAGGTCCTCGTGACACCAACAGAGAATCGGCTCATTGGAGGGCTTTCATACCGGGGAAAGAGGATGTAGTTTAGTATTCTGGATTTGGGAATCTGGATTTGGGGACGGTCATCTTCGTCAATGAAGCGGCCCTGGAGGGTGTTTTGATAGAGGCGTCACAACCGCGTCCACCCCAGCCAGGCAGCTCTTGCTCTCCCTCACTCACATGCTTTCATCTCATGCCCGACCCTTTCTAATTCATCGTCACTTTCTTCCAGACGCCATCTTCTCAGAGAGACCTGTCTTGTTTATTTCCTAGGCGGGACGCAGCTGCCGTTGCCTTTCCTAGTTTTTGGGCTTCGTTGCTGTTGTCGTGAGGCGGTACTTGCGTTTTGTGCTGCTGGTAGGTGGACGAGCTTTTTTGTGTTTTGTTTTGTTTGTTTGTTTGTTTGTTTTTCCTTCTCTCTGGTCATTGTTTCCCTCCTTCATTCTCTGAATCAGTGTCAGATTCTCATCGAAGAAGTCTTTCTCGAGAAACTGATCTCGTACTTGTCCGTAACAAAACTCGGCGGCAATAAGTTTTTTGGTTTGGAATTGAGTTCGTGAGGCTTCATTTGCGATTTTAGGAGGTAAGCGTGTTTTCTTATCAATTTTTTCGAACTATCTCGAATTGTTAGTCTTGAGGGTGTGAGTTTGTGATTTAGTGCTCTATGTGTGGGAGCTGTATTAAACGCTCATTTTCTCAAATTCAGGATTAAGAGCATTATGATGTAATGTTCATTCGTGTTTCTATTAGAGGAATTGAATATTCGAAGTTATCGACGTGGAGTTTCTCGTTCATTTCAGCTGATATTTATATTTATATTTATATTTTTCTTTTTACTTTTTCTGTCTTCGCTTTTCTTGATGCGTCTGGTTTTGAATTTGTTTGCTACAGACATGACGAATAGTTTCCACATTTGTGTGCGGCCTTGGATTGTTATAAAGACTTCTCGTAATGCCATCTTCTTACCATATATACAGTCTTCGATTTATCCCATTTCATTTTGTCATGTGTCATTCTGTCGAGTACAGTACGTGGTCTCGGATCCAGGTTTTTTGTGTTACGTTTTAGCTGGTTGTGTCACATTTCTTAGTTCTTGTCGATTGAGCAAGTTTTTTTTATCCTCTCTCATTGCCAGCTGTTTCACGATGATTGTGAGGATATTGAGGTAGATTTGTTTCTTCAAAACGAGAAAACCAATTTAGTCGAGTTAGGAGTAGTGAGTGGAATGGTTTATTGACTTTAGAAGCATCAATACTGCTGTCTTCCTTCCAGGTTGTTCAAGGTAGGTCTTTATCGGAATCGGGCCGTTGCATGTTCTTGGCGACCTCCTGTTCTCATACGGAGTTATTGAAAATTTCTGCTGAAAAGCGTTTCTTGCTGTGTGACATTTGGTTATCAGGTCCTACCTCATTCAGTGCACCACTCATGTCCTTGCCACCGCGTTTGTTTGTTTGTTTGGTTTTTTCCCCTTTTCAAAGCTTACTCCTGTTGCATAGTGTTTATATTCTTTTTTCGTGCTATCTTTACTGCAATGTGTTGCAATGAAAGAGGGTTTTGGAACCCATTGTCGGAAAACTATTATGCTTCCTGAATTGTACTTAGACCAAAGCTCCTTCAGATGTCTGTCTTTATTTGTGCGTTGTGATTGAGTCCTGCTCCTCCAATCTTGGAAAAGTAGCCACGTTATATTTTTTGCACATGTTCCTTCCGCTGTAGTGTTCTGACGCTCAGGAATGTGTTGGTGGATAGTATTGGGTTTTCAGTTCATCATTTCTGAAGTATAGGTTCTCTTCTTCAGAGTAATGTCAACAGCCCTCCCACGATTGTTTGATACTCCCGTTGCTTGAGCTTGCGTTCGTGACGATTAAAGACATATGCCCTGTTCGTGCTGCTGTTATGCCTTTCTGACGATAAGTGTCCTTCATGAACAGTTCAAGGTGTCATGCCAAATGACTCGCGGGGAGTGCTTGTGCATCGGGCCAGAACTTCCTGAACGCAGATGATATTTCAAGTAAATAGTAGGTCGTTGAACATATCTTGTGAATTCACTGTTGATACAAATGTGTAGCCGATGCAGACGTTGCTAGAAACGATTTTTGTTGATTGAGAAAAACGAGTTTGGTTTTGGGTTACACAGCAAAAAAAGGTAATTTTGGATAATTTTGGTTAATTCTCTAAGGTTTGTTTTCTGTCTTGTGGAGATCAAAGTCAAACATTCAACGTTTACATTCTTGAAAGTCTAAGTGTCCAAATTGAATGACTCTAATCGTGAGACAATTCAAGAATTCACAAGTGACTCGTCCATCTTCTATATCGAATATTATACGTCGCAACTTATTGACAGAATCTCTATTCTCCTCTGTTCTCTTCTATTCTCTTCTTTCTTCGTCTTCTTCTTCGCTATTTTATTTAATTTATTCTCGCTACTTCTTCCCCTCAAAGTGTGAAGTGGTTTGTTATGCACGGTGCTTTAATGAGGGGCAATAATTAGATAGCACAGCGAATAGGGTGTTAAGAAGTACGATCAGCCCATAAGCCTGTCCACTATAAAAGTACTCGTATACAATCTGCTATTGTAGTGTCTAGATCCGCCTGTGGTATGTATTCATTGCTACAGAATTTAATGAAATATCTTGTGTTGTTGCAGGAAAGCGTGTCATGGCAGTACTATATTCGGAAACGGTTACTAGGATGAAATCGCTATTTCAACAACACAATGTTATAGGCAATTATATATGTGGTCCTATTGTGATGTTGAGACGGAATTGTCAGGTATTTTTTTAGCACCTTGTACTTTTTGTAAGTGCTCCAATCTACACAAAAGCTTCATACGTGGGTTTTTTGTTTGATATAAATGCTGTTTTGAACTCTTCAGATTTCGTTAAACTCATCTGATCTGTGTTAGTTTTATTTATATTTTGTCCATAATCTTGTAACAAGTGTTATTATTGTTACCAGACTGCGGTGCTCTTGGTGCGGAAGTTCGCAAGCCAGACTTTGTTTCTGTACACCATCATCTGGACATTGATGCTTGCGGCAACTGTGACAGTGGCTGCTCTCAGCCTGGAGATGGGTTTTAGTACTGCTATTTCTCCTCATATGGAAATTGCCGAGGCCTGCTCTTTGCAAAGTAACAAAGCTTCGCCATCTTGTCGGCAGTGTTTTCGGTTGCCACTTGATGGTCCTCGAGATGGTCTGTGTGTTCCTGCGAACATGTTCAAGAAATCAGGGATGGATTTCGCAGTGCCACCCATTTTTGCCGCTCTAGTAGTAACAGCATCTGCCTTATTCGTTCAAGGTCTGGGGCTTTGGAGTTACTAGCTCCTCTTTGTTACGAAATACAGCATGCGCATGAAGACTTGCCCTGCGACGTGACAAGGTTTGTGCTCTTGTATATATTATCCTTGCCGTCCTATTTCAGTTGGGTGATGATATAATCAAATTGTACCTTGCTGGATATCACCAGGCGACGAAGCTGGTCTCGAACGCGAAGTATTCTAGGATTACTCCTTGGAGATGTCGCTCTCCCCTGCACTAAATATTGACTTGATACTGGAGATGCCGTTGAGGTGATTACTTGTTTCAGAAGACTTAGTATGTACATCTAGTTGAAGACACGGACTTTGAAACTCTTGCATTGATTTATGGAGGATATGAAGAAACACATCATATTATATTGTCCAGTGTGTTCTCCCAAAACTTTTCAGGCTATCGAAACACACGGTTATTAGAGCCTCCGATGCTACTAAGTCATCACACTGAAGGTGCGAGTACCATAGTTTCACGTCATGATGATGCTACCAACCTTCCATGTTAGTAAATCTTGGTTTTAATGGTATAGCTCTGTTTTCTGCAGCGCCCACTTTTATGTTCGTGCCTGCAGAATGTTAAATCTCTAGTTTCTAGCTGTTTGGCGACTCCTAGCAGAATATCCTGTCATTAATGTAGGAAATGTACCATAGTAGACTGGTGACTTCCGTGCTTATGTTCGAATGTCCAAGTTAGCATTCACTGTAAGTTCTTTTGAATAGGTGATAAATTCCTATAGCTCATGTACATGCCAAACGGTCAATTGAGCTTGGATTGAACTAAATTTCCTGAGCAAAAGCGTCCTTCTGTACAACAGAACTGATGAAAGCTACGTATGTTGAATGTTGTCTTTTGTGGATGTGAGTCGTAAATTTGCGGTTTGCTGCAATGATATTTATTGCTTGTGAAGCATTGCACTTGCTAAAGGTGTCCTCGGTTTGATTTGTCTCAGCAGCGTGTTAACTTCTTCATTATGCAGTGTGATATTATCTCGTCCCATTGGAAGTTGCTTTGCTTTTAACGTGGAAATTCTACTGATTGTGCTCAGATTAGATATCGATTTAGTTTTATTAAATAATTATGAAGTGCCAATTTCTTATTTTGAAATTGCTCTTGAAAGATATGTGTTTACAAATGTAAGAAAGTGTGGTTGATACTTTGACATATTTACTACTGCTATTGGTATTGTTAGATAGAAATACAAATGGTTTAAAAACACTTGAATTCTAAGGCTTCTTGTTTTAATCAAATTTAAAAATAAGCTAAGATTGATGTTTTAGCTGTTTGAATAATTTTCAACATTTCTTAAATCTAAGAAATGTTCGAATAATTGGAATTTGATTTTTAAAACTAAAATAACAGAAGCTGAATGAATGATGCATAGACCCATGATGAAGAATATGATAATCATGATGATGAATATGGTTGGTTTTCATTGATTGCAAATCATGTAGTGGAGAAATGAATCTAGAATTCTTGTAAGTATTCTTACAATTTTTTTAAGGATATTCACTTAATGATTTAGTTTAAAAGAAATAAGTAAATATATCACTTACAATCAATTGTAGTTGCTTCTTATCAAAAAATATTTCTTATAAAATTTAATGGATTCGAAGATAAAAGTGAATGAAGATTGTAGATTCGTTATAGATATAAAAGTTAAAAATATGTAGATATTAAGATTTTGTTATTGTAGAATTCCTAGTATTTGCAAACACATTAACTAAGAGTGCCATGCATATAGGTTTGGAAGCATTTGTAACCATGTAATTACAAACAGCTAAAAAGCACAAGTGTCATAATTATATATAATATTATTAAAATTAAAAAAAAATTGAATTATGTAATTTCTAATATTTAGTAAATTGGTAATAGATGTTTCTTTTTGGATAGAAAATAGAATGTAGATATTTTGAGTTGATGTTCAAAAATCTATTAAATAATTAGATTTGATAAAGAAACACTTGACATTATATTGATGGGCAGAACAGAAACATGTTTCTCAAATGCTTGCTAAGACAAATTGGTGTTACAAAAGAAATATATTAATTCTAAAATATATAAAAATAAAATAAAACATGATAATAAAATATATTCAATATTAGTAAATAAAACATATTCAGTATTAGTAAATAAAATAGTAAAACTAATACTAAATAATTTAAAATTAAATCATAAACCATAACCATAACCATAAAATATAGAAGTAGAAAAAAAATCTAAAATAAAATAAAATATAACATAATAAATAAATAAAATACACATATATATCTCTTTGGCATTCTTGTAAACAATACATATTCACATATTTTGCTTTTGAAGTCATTGATATAAAGCTTAAATACATTATTAAAACCATTAATTTCCAATTGTAACAAATGAATAAATAGATAGTACTCATATTTTATTTGTTTTTTTTTTTAACCACTACATAATTGTGAACTACTTAATTTTTTATTTGGTGAGAAATTCTAAGAGCAAGCAATTCATGTTTTGTTTTTTAAGAAACCTCTCTCATATTCTTATTAAATTAAATTACTAATTTAGTGGATAAAATATCATTATAATCCACCAATTATAGGTTGAACACAAAGAGCCAAATTAAGAAAATGAAGAAATGTTCAATATTTTTCAATTTATTTGTTGATAATCATATTAATTTTATTAATTTTATTTTAACTATTAAAAAATGTGTTTATTAGAATGACAAACACATTTATAATATTTTTTTAAAATTATTTTACAAATATTAAAGATTGATAAGTAACTAAATAAAACACATAAATATTATTTATAAGCATCATTAAGAGTGTTTTTCTGCACGCTCTAAATTTTATTTATTTATTTATTTATTTTCTATTAGTGCTTCAAATAAAATTAAATCTGCTCTTTTGAAAAACAGATAGGTTTCTAGCCTATTCAAAGCAAAAACAAGAAAAGAAGTAGAAATGATATTAAAAGCCAGATTAAAATACATAAATGAAGAATAAAATGGTTTGAATCTTGCAAAATATTTTATAGACAACTTATTTTAATATTATGTCTCTAAAAATTAAATAGAATTAATTATACAATATTTTTTTTATTATCAAAATAATTATTATTCAAGTGATATATTCTAGGTTATTTTTTTTTATTCTAATGTTTGAAAATACAATTTAACTTATTTATTTATGTTAAAATATTTACAACATAACTGTTTTATTATTTTAAGTAGTTTTTACCATAAAATGTTGAATAGATATATGTCAAAAAATATAAATAGATATTAATTATGAATACCAGTAAATTAAATAAATATTTTTATTGATTTGAAATAAGATATTTAAACAAGTTATTAAAGTATGAAAAAAAAGAAAAAAAGAATGCAAATTAAATAGATGCATGAATATATATATATATATATATATATATGAATGGAAACTCACACAAACAAATGTCTCTTACCTTAAATAAGAATGCACATCATTTTATTTTACCATAAAGATTCTTGCTTTGCTTTGAGACTAAGATTTTATTTGATTTGGTAGTTTAGGAATTATTAGTATTCTCTAATAATACAAATCAAAATGGTTGGTTGTAGAAGTAAAATACTATTTAATACATGATGATTTTTTCAGTTGAGTATACAAATTTGTAAATGATGTGCTTATTTATATTAATTATAAATTTAAATTAACAATGAGCATCATTTATAATTATAAAATAATTTAAAGATTGAGGTAAGAATTTTTGAGCAATGCAAAGTTCTGTATTTTTTTATTATTGATGTATCTAAATACTTAGAATCATTTATAAATAAATTATTCAAATATTTTGAATATTTATATAATTTATTATATAATTTTTAAAATTTTAAGAGAAAAATGTAATAAAAATTGTAGAAATTATCTACATACAATTATTTTTATCATTATTAGAAATTTCATTTCATATATAAATACAATTAGATATAAATTATTTTAATAAAATTATTAAATATATTTAATATCTTATTTATAATTCTTAAAATAATCATAAATGATAAGTAATATTACTTTCTATTTTTTAATCATTTCCAAGTGTATACATTTGAAAAAACATTGTATGCCTTCAGAAGAATTCTATTTTTATTTTTATTTTTTAAAGATATATATATATTTATATATATACATATAAATCTAATTAAATAAAATTAAAAAATTAGAAATCATTCCTATATGTAATAATGTATATTATATTACAAATTTACAGTACAATAGGTAGAAATTAGATAATTTTTTATTACAAAATAATCAAAATAAATGGGATCAAGAGCTAATGCTTTTATTATTTGATAAGATGAAAATTAAAGTTCTTTCCATAAAATAGGCATCTATGCCAAATTATAAAACATAAAATTTTACAATGCAATAACATAAATACAAGATAGAAGGAAATTTTTAAAATATTTATAAATTTTACTAATTATTCTCGAATAGCATAAGCCTTTATTTTAATAAAATTTTGATTATTAGTCCCTGTAAACATGTATTAGCCAACACTTGTTTAAAACTTTTAATTTTTTTTCTTTTGTTTACTTATCCTTTTGAGATAGCTAAATTATTTCATACTATTCTATGTATACTTAGCTAAATTTATAAAAAAAAAAGAAAAAAGAAGATAGAATTGCTATTGTAGTATGAAATGCAATTTAATAGATTTTTTTATAAATTTTCTTATATGTGTTTTATAAAGTTTGAGTTGCATGATTGTTTATATTAATTTGTTTTGGCAACTTCTACTATGGCAATATAAAATGTGACAACAGTGGTAGTTGATTGTTTCAGTGAATATAAATAGTGTAATATTAATTGTAGAAAATATTATTAAATTTTGTAAAATTTGATGCAACCATTTATGTTGGTTGGATTAGAAACTACAAGACCAAGTGGATTAGATATTTGTCTTTTTTTGAAAACCTATTAACGAGCATGAATAATCCAATATATTAGCATTTTTTAAAACAAAATAAAATTGATTATAGAGACTTAGAAATTAAAAATAAATTTTATAATATGCTTGAGATATCATTAATATTTATATTGGATTTGATGTTAAAAATATAAAATGTGTGTGTGTATATATATATATATATATATATATATGGATACATAGAGAGATAAATGTTTAAAACTCTATCAAAAGATTTTCAAATTTAATACTTGAATTGCTACAGAAAGGCTAAAAAGGTGAATGCATGGATGGCTAAAAAGGTGCATTAATAAATGTAGTGTCCTTTATATGATTAAAAAACAAACAAAACATACATCTTTAACTTTAAAATCTATCTATCTATCTATCTATATATATATATATGATACCATGAGAAACTTTGTTTAAATTTCTTGAAACTAAAAGTTAATAAAATTTGAATATAAAATTTTCTCATGTATGATATTTTTATAACATTAAATATTGTCAAAATAAGTAAATTTGACAATTATTTATTTATGGTATTATTCTCTAACCATCATCCCAATATTTATTTTTGAATAGAGTATCAATTTAAAAATACAATTATAACAATTATAATACAATGTCAATTTTTTTTAATAATAGAATGAATAAAATAATTTATTTGTTTTAGGTTCGAAAGAAAAATAAATTAAAATAAATCACTTATTAGAATCTATTATAAATTACAATTTTATAGTACTGACAATTGATTCTTTAATTACAAAACAAAAAAATAATATTGATTTTCTATTTTAATTAAGTCATATAAATTAACCACTTATCTTTTCAAAATGAAATAAATGCATTAAATTTTAATCCCTCATATTTCTTCCAAATTTTAAAATATGTACATAAATGCCTTGCAATTCCTTTTAACAATATTAATTTTACTCCAAAGAAAATTACACACAAATATTGCCTTCTGAAAAATCAAAATTTAAATCATTACACACTGTATCGGTTTCATTTAAAAATAAAATAAAATAAAAACCCAAAAATCAACAACTTGTGACACATTTTCTTTTTAAAAAACCGATTAAAACCAGATTTCCTTAACTTTTTTTTTTTCAGCATTAAAATATGAACTTCATCATACCGAGGTTGGTTTCGCGTTCCGGCCATGAAATGTTCCTACATTACCACGCTCTCCATCACAAAACTCAACAGATCTCAAGCTAAAAAATTGATGGCTTCTTGTAATTAAAGAGTTGAGAAACTGAGTGTGTTTCATGCCTTTTGTTTGGGATGGCGATGGTGTTGATGAAGCCAAACAACTACTCCAGGTGGGTCACCTTAATTATTCTTGTCTTGGTCGTAGAAACATAAGTTTACAGCAAAGTTTACAAAGTTTACAGCAAAGTTGTGACTGACTTGTTGCTGTTTTGTTGCTATGCGTGTGTATGGTTGTTGCTGTTGCCATGCGAGGTTTTGAAGGTTTTTCACCGTCTTGATGCTTAATGTTCATAAATGCACTAGTCATTGAGGAATCTCTAGATGTAGTAGCCTTCATGTGTGAGCGAGGTGTTGAACTTGAGAACATCCGCTTCATTGTCAATTAGGTTTCGAAGGTCTGATCCCTGACGTGCTCGATGAGCTTCGTCGCCTTCAGCGATACATCACCACTAGTTTAATTTTTGTCGTAAGTTCATTCTCATGGTTCCAATGCTCTGTGAACTTTGATTTGAGGAGGAATTCAACTTTACGGCATTCTAACGTGATTGTGGTGAAGCTGTGTATCCATCATAGTGAGGCAGCGATTGAGTACGACTGGGGTGTTTTAGAGCACTTTGTAGGTCACGGCGTTGGCAAGGTGTTTCATTCTGCTCCACCCATATCGCATAGTAGCAAGTTTTCCAACCCTCTTTCTCTCCCTCTTTACTCCATGCAAGATTCCATACCCGGGGAGTTGCATAATTTCTAATTCAGTGCTGCCGCATCGAGGTTTTCATATTTTGGAGGTGGTCATCATGTGAAAGTTTACATACAAATAGTTAGAATCCGTGTGCAGAGGTGCTGTTTTCCGAGATGGGTTTTCTGCTGATAGTGAAATCGATTTCATTGCTTGCGTATACCAACGGGTAATAATCAACCTGGGAGGATGGCAGTCTGGCAGGCATCCACAAAGAGTAAGATGTGTTCCAATTTGGTAACTACATTCTTTTCATCAACTGATGCATGCCGATTAATCAGGTGAATTTTCCTTTTTCCAAGCCACACAGAATCTGTCTCTTACAGTTACAGAAGTTTCGACTCTACTATGTCATCGTTGTATAATCAATCAACATGAAGCACTTAAATCAGATCTAAACTTTCCCTGGTTCTCGAAACACCTTTGTCAGCTACAGGCCTCCTCGAAAGCCTCCTCGAAAGGGAACACGAAAGACCGAAGTGATGTCAGGCACTTATATTACCCTTTTAGTGATTTGATAAGATTCAAACACGACTGATCCAATGGTTTATAAATTTCAGATTAGGTGTTCGAATGCTTCAAGGCAATTTTTTTTCTCGTCTTTGTTCTGAAAAGTTCGGATTTGCCATTCTCTCTTCTCGCGTTGGAAGAGATGCGGTCGCAAAGGAAAAGCTCGTGATTCTGAGTGTCTGACTTTGGGTGGTTGACTTGCGGTGTTATTTTTTTTCCTTTGGCTGTGTGGACTTGTTCACCATATGGAGAAGAGGAATACAGCGAAATTCTAGGAGAACATGCAAGGTTTGTGCTTTTTGGCTTTTGTGGTAGTTTTTTCAAAAGCATGTCAAACAACCTGAAGCAGCTTTGGTGGGAATTTCCAAAACTTTCTCACATTCTCTGCTCAAAATCAACGCTCTCACTACAGTTTTTTCAAAAGGATGTTTGGCGGTCTTCGATGTCTGTAGCTCTGATCAGATAATGGGTATGTTTGTATACTACAGTAGCTTTTGGGTTTTGATGCTTGTGTGTGTGTATATATATATATATATAGATGACTGGTTTGCTCTCAACAGTAACTTCTTTCCCTTAATTTATTAACTTAGCTTTTTTCTCTATTCAATTTATTAATGAGGAAAGATTTAACCAGCTTAGAATATAAAACTTCTTAAAAATCTCATATGATTTGTGAACAGAACAGAAACCATGTTTCAAATTGGGGATTAGCCATTTGGTTCATTGTACAGCCCTTTTGAGTCTTGTTGGTACCTTTGTCATTTAAAATTAAAACAAAAAACTTAAATACAAAGAATTATTATAAATTCTGAATGTTGAACAATCAATGTGAAAGTTTGTTGCTTATTTAAGTTGTTCATAAATTGCAACATTTGACATGTAAGTAATTCAAATGTTTTTAGATTCATCATTGGGCCTGGTTAAGTTTAAATTTAATTTCAGGCAAACTTTGTGAGATTGAACTGCCATATTAGAAAGGACCAAACATTCTGTAAATTCCATGTCATTAAGAATTGTCAACGGTAATCCAAAACTTCGATATTGAGATCAGCTACTAAAACTTGCAAATATAGCTACTTTATATATAATAAAAATTAGTGTCTATTTTTTTAATTTGTTGATTGGCTAAATTTTTTTTCATGTGCATGAAGTTTGTTGATTGGATGAATTTTTGAGTAAAGAAGATTAAATAATCTAAAAAATTCATCCAAGTATAATGAAAAAGTTTTTACAAAATATTTATTAATTATTAATTAAGAACTTTTGTTTTTGATTCCTAATAAACTTAAATTCAAAATAAGTTTAAAGAAATTGCAAATTTATAATGTACATCCAAGATCAAATTTTCATTTAGAATTAAAATAAATAAATAAATAAATAAATACTTTTATCAAAAATATAGAATAAAATCTATAAAAAATAGAATAAAATATAAAGGATTTTTTAATTTATATATATTTATATATATTTATATATATTTATATATATATATATATATATATATAATTTAATATAAAGAGAGAAAAAAAAACTACCAAATAAGGTTCAAATGAACTTGAATTGGAATGTTTAGGTTGAGTAACTAAAAGATTGAAGTTCAATGATAAATTGTACTTAGATAACAAACTTGTAAAACTTGGATCTAGTGTCATCAAAACTCTTTAGAAAAGCAACTCTAGGTTCTTTAGCAAATACAATTGTGTTTCTATGAACCAATTAAAGTGGTACAATTATTAAAGAAGCTCTTGCTATCTTTGTGTCTTTTTAGTTAGGTACTCCTAATATTGGTTAAGGTGATAAACAAAATTAATGGATGGCAAGCATTAATTTACTCATTTGTTTTTTGCATTTGTATTAGATTATTTTATCAGGTTGCTTCTTCTAATTTTTTTACAAATTTTATGACTTAGATACTCTACATAAGTAAGAAAAAAAAAAAAAAAAAAAAAAAATGCAAAATTTCTTAGTCAAATGCAGTAGTTGTAGAATGTTTCTATAGTAGCCTTTTAAGGTAGAAAATTTCCAAGAGAAGTTTTTATAACCATGTGGCATATATGAAAAAAAATTATATATTGAAATTGTATTTAAAAAAACTTGTTTTATGTTCCATAAAAAAGATGTTTATCTATTTAACATACTTGTACATACAACTATATATACACACACCTATATTTGACTACAAACATACCAAGTGATCATTTTTTAATAAGACATGTTGATGATATAATAAAATATTTACATTTGAAAATTAATTTGTAATTTGATCAAAAAATAAAAGATAAAAAATAATTCGGTTCTTGATAAAATGAATACAACTATGTTATACATGATAAAATTAAATCATAAAATATCATCAATATAAATTTATTAAAACATCAGAAATAGATGTAGTTATTTTATGAATTCTAATTTTGTTTTAATTATATATTCAGTTTATTTTAATTTTGTTTTATTTAAATATTTAGTTTAATTTAATCAAGATAATATTAAAAATTATCTATGTTATTCCAGAAAGAATATAATAAAAAATTCTCATAATTTTATGAAAGTATTTCAACTCAATGATTATATATATATATATATATATACATATAAGAAATTAATATAAATTATCTAACAAAAAAATAACTTAAAGCAGTACATGTTTTATAATTATATGTAATTATCACAAAAAATAAAAGTAAAAAAAAATAGATTGCAAATTTTGAAAACAATATCTTGAATTGCCTTGTTTTAATTTCATTTAAACAGAGTAACCAATTAATGTTTTCAGGCGTAAAAAAATGTTCATATATATATATATATATATATATTCACACACTTTGATGAAGAAATAAAAAATACATATAATTATTTGATGTATTTAAGTTGTTATACATACATGAAATATGACATGTTACAGAAAGTGATGTTCATGCAGTTTTCTGAATAGAGGTTTTGTTTATCTTTGTGTGTGTGTATATATATGTGAGTGTGTGTGAAATTAAAACAAACAAACAACATGCATAATTTGTTTTAATTTTTTGAAGTTTGTTAATTTATTGTTGCCGCCATTTTGTTAGTCCCTGCATTCTATTTGTCAAGAAAAGACATATTGATACTTTTAGACAGCAAACTTCTTTATAAACTAAACAGTCCAGGTTGTTGTGGAGGACCAAACTTCCAAGTCCCCTTTGGCGTTTCGTTAACCCAGCATCGAATGTGATCTAATTCAACTCTCTTGAAAAAATAAAATACAATATAATACAAAATATTAAAGTATCTAATGATTTCTTCCCAAATAGTGCAAGTCCTTTAATGCCAAGCCAACATTTCTGGGGCATGATGGGACCAATCATTCTGCACCACATGGATATATCCTTTTACTTTTCCCCAATGTGACTTTAGTACCCCCCTCCCCCTCGATCCCTATCCCCTGAATTAATAATAATCCGAACTAGGATCACAGATATTGAGATATAGAGATATATATAGATAACTTATAGGCCCTCTGTAGTTAGTTAGGATGAACGGATAATAATATGTCTCACATCCATGTCTTGATGGATGAAAAGGAAGCATCGAGTTGTGTGTGGATCCATTGGAGGAATCAAGTTAAACCCCGCACAGCCACACGAATTCTGAGTGGCTGTCGGATCAGCACCCCCATGTGCTTGCCACCTCCTCCCTTTCTCCCCTCCACCTGGATGCCACATCCTCCTCACTCAGCTCGCCTCCCTGCACTTCGGACACACGGGATGGGGGCATTCGAGGGCCCTGCCCTAATTCTACACCCTCACTGTATTACCTCGCGCCTCCTGTTCTAATATATACTAAGATTCTAAACAACATAAAATGTATCAGACAACGCCTCCTTCTGTGTTTGATAAATTTGATTAAAAGAAAGACTGGGTATAATTAGTTTTTCTTAAAACGAACTGGGGGAACCTGGCTGACAGACGCTTAAATAGTGCCCGCACGCCCACGAAGAATTAAACATTGAAAAAAATACAAAAATATGTACATGTAACAGAGGAAGGAAGCAAGAGGGAGGGGGAGACCCAGATGAAAGAAACAGACAGGAAGGGCAAGGGGAAATAATATAAAGGGTGGGCCCCAGACAAAATCTTTAATAGAAGAATGTAATCCCCCTATTCCCGTTCCCAGAGACTAAAAGTATTTTTTCCCTCTCTCGGGCAGCGGGCAGATCGAAAAGTAGTAGGGGAACTCAACCCCCGCAGAATGAAGCTTCAAAAAGTAAGCTCCAAAAAGGAGCTCACGTGTCCATCACGTGGAGTATCCCACCTGGCATGAGACTAATGGGGCCCGGATGATCTATCTTTGACCCATTGGCCCACCCCTCCTGCTTTCCCAATAAAAGCCCATGATGGACCACAGGTCCGTCCTCCTCGATGATAAATGATCACCCGGCCTGGGGGGTCTTGTCCAGGGGATCCGAAGTGGGTCCGACTTGCATGAGGGTAAGGACTAAGACTGGGAAAGAGGATTTCATGCGGGTCGAAAACGCTACACGTGGTGGACCTTTTTCTTTTGGGCGGGGGTGTGGGTGAAAGGTGAGATTATGGTGGAGGTGGCAAAAAGGGAAATATTTCTAGGGAGGCCCATTGGGCGATGAGCGCGGGTAGTCTGTTCGTCGGGTGCACACGTGGCCTAGATTTTCCCGGCAATGTCGTTCCCACCCACACTTTAAAAGTTGCTTTTAGTCAGGCTTTACGGTCACTGCCATTTGCCTTTGATCACTCACTGCCTTCATTCACTCAGTGATATTTGTGTGGGTTTTTTTTTTTTTTTTTTTGTTTATCAAGGTGGATTTTTATATAATATATATATTATTAATTCTCACCATTCGAAAATTTCCATGCATATTATTCAGTTACTTTTTTACTGGAATGTTGCTTTTCTTTTTTCTTTCCTTTTTCTTTTCTTTTTCCCTTTTCCTTTTCCTTTGTGTGTATGTGTGGGCACACATGCAGAAGACTTTTGTGGTAAACTGTTCATTTTATTGTGGTGTAAACTTGATTTCCTGCTATTGAGTAAGGTAAGTGTAAATTTACAAGCATAAAATATACACACACAAGCACATTTATCATGTTGAATATTTTGTATGACTAGTTATTGTAACTCTTGATATATAAATAAGCATTTACTAACAAATGAGTGATTTATTGTATTCATAGATTTTGATAGTGTTGATTTTTATTATTATTTATTACTATTAAATCAAACTTTGGTGTCATTGTTGTGTGTTCATAACATTGACTATGATTACACTACTTTTATGCTAGTTTGAATGTTTTCTACCATGTTATTTCAAAACAAATGTTGGAGTAGAAATGTATGCCATCAACTAAAGAATCATAGATTGAACAATTCAAAGAAGGATGAAAAATAAAATAAAATAAAATAAAACATGCAATCAACACATGAAAAAAAGAAGTATGTTTCATTCCAATTGCCTATCTTGATCACAAGAATTTATAACACATTTTAGGTCAAAGTAAGGGTATTCAATAAAAGAAAAATGAAAACAATAAGAGCAATATGTGGGTGCTTCTTATTTGCATAAGACAGAAAAGGTTTGAAGGCACCCTTTAAAAGACGACAAGGACACAAAAGTGGTGTCAAAATAAGTGAAAGACCTCCGGCCCATTGGGCCACAACCGCGAAGACTTATTTATTAAAAGGGAAAAATTGAAAAACGACAAAGGAGGAAAAAGTAGAAAGATTAGTCTCCAATCTCCCTTCCTCTTTCACATCAACACTAACGCCCTTTCCGACGGAGCCACGCGGCGGGCTCCGACATCTCGCGACTGGACGTATCGGCGTCCTGTAACGAGGGCCCGAGATGAACACCTGGATGCGGGGACCGCTTTTTTCTCCGGCAGTGTATTTTGCTTTGCTTTGCCGGTTGCGTCCTGCGCCTCCTTTTTTTTTTTTTTTTTTTTTTTTTTTTTTTTCTTGCTGTGCTGCTGTTTCTGCTTTCCCCTTTTATGCGCTTTTTCTCCACCTTCCGCGGCGTGGTGTCATGTTCCGAGACCCTTCTTGTCTCTGAGGACTCGCCCCCTTATACCCTCGCCTCCTCTATTGCTGCACCGTCTTATCAATCGACTTCACTTCTTTCGTCTCCTCGCCTCCCCCCCCCCCTGCTTTTCATCGCCTTGTTAGCGTCCATCTTCTCTTATTCCCTCACAATTTGTAGTTGTCGAAGTTAGTTCACTGGCAGTGTTACGCAGGTTTTGCGAGGCGAGGTTATTGTCAGTAGGTGGCAAGACGGATAGCCAATACAAGGGGACAGGATTCAGGTGCAGGTTGTGCGAGACACAGGTTGGTTGGTTGGTTGGTGTGGTGTGGTGTGTGGTTTGAGGCTGGTGGATGAAGCGGTTGTTGAGGTTGGAGAAGGAAGAGGAGGAGGAGTCGTGGTAGCAGTAGTGTTGGTAGTTGAGGTTGGTCATGTCCAAGCTAAGGAAGTGGATGATGAAGGAGGATAGGGAAAGCTCCGCCGGGAGCGCGGACACGAGCGCAATCAAACTCTTTGGCGCCACGATTGCTGTTAGTATTACCGATTCGGGTGTATCTTCGAAGGCCGCTACCTCGATGAACGCCACCGTGGCAAAGCCGTGCGTATCGCTGGTAGAATCCTCCGCCTCTCTTGTTTAATTTTGTTGTTTAATGTTTTCTTTTTCTTTTTCTTTTTCTTTTGCTCACAGTGTTTTGTGAAACTCGTCGGGTTTTTTCACCGATCGAGGGAGAGCAATCAGAATGGAAATGGTTATTGATTGTAGCATGTTTGTGACATGCAGACTGGTAGTGAAGAAGTCGATGGCGCATCGATGCAATTGGAAGCGGATGAGATGGGAAGTTCCCTTGGGAGCACTTGCAATGAATCTTCCGCAGGAGCATTGAACACATCGAATGCTGAGATGGCGATTAAGGATGTCAATGGCGAGGCGCAGGTTTTCGCGACCTTTACTCGTGAACTTCCCCAGTCTGTGATGCAAACCATTCATGGAATGGTGTCGCAGCAGAAGCAGCGGGCGTTGACAGTTGAGGAGAAGAAGGAGCAGTGTTCGAAGAAACCGGACAAATTGATCCCCTGCCCGCGATGCGATAGTCTTGAGACGAAGTTCTGCTACTACAACAACTATAATGTCAACCAACCCCGGCACTTCTGCAAGAGCTGTCAGCGCTACTGGACCGCCGGAGGCACCTTGCGGAACGTGCTCGTCGGAGCAGGGCGTCGAAAGAACAAGTACGGAGCATCTCAAATGAAGCAGGAAGATGCGGAGGGTGCAAATTCCGGTATCACTACTGTGAGGATGGATCACCACGAAGGGGCACAGCCTATGCTCCCTTGTACCATCAACCCTTACGTTATCAAAGTTCCACCCATGCAATTACCCCAACTCGCGACTCAGTGCTCGCCACGACAAGTTTCGGATGTCCAAAGCACCGTGACAACCTCTTGTAAGGCCGTCTCCTCAGCCTCGGCCTTCCAACCAGCAGTGCCCGAGATGTCCACCGATTCCGTTTCTAAATTGCGGCAGAGGTCGGGAACAGAGTCCACATTCGAAGGTAAAGAGACTTCAAGCTCGATTTCCAGCGTCTCTGCTACAGAGACAACTTCGAAGTATGTTTTGTCATCGAGAGTGCCACCCCAGCAACAAGCTGACCAACAAGCCGTGTGGACTAAAAACAGCGTTCCTCTTGGTTACTTCAACGGCGCATGGCCGTATGGGTACAACATTGGAATAGGCGGTGTGGGGCCAATTCCTGACAATCCTGCGATGTGTGGCCCGCATCCGGCAGCAGCTTTGGCAAGCAGTAATCTGCCTAATGGGATGAGCCCACCGCCTGTGAATGTCTGGACGGGTATGTGGGCGTCTGGTATGCCATCGGGGATGCCTGGGATGGCTGGTGTTCCTGCGGTGCCATTTGGTTGGAATGTGTGTCAAGGTGGTTGGACGTTGCCATGGCGGCCTGTCCCTGCTGTTGCAGTGCAACCTCCCGCTGAGGTCATGCATTCTGGTAGCGCACGAAAATGGGACAGTGCGAGCTCTGAAGACAGGGTGAGAAAGATGGCGAGGGTGGAGATTCCGGAAAAGGACGTGTTGTGATTTGTTTTTTCCATGTAGAGTTTGATGATCCATCACAAGGATATGAGATGGAGGTGTAGGAAATCATGGCGCGGTGTGATCGATAGAACTTGTAAATCTTCTGGAGAAGATGGGAAGAACCAAGGTTTCCTGATGGAAGCAAATGGGGCTGGGCCCTGTAGGGGTAGAAATTAGTGTCAACAACTCTTAGTAGCTCTTGTCAAGGCATAAGATTCTTAACGCCGATAAAAATAAAAATAAATCCAAGATAAGCGGGCTGTTGTAGTTTGGAATATTGTAACATGAACGCCTATTTTTTTTCTTTCTCGCCACCAATTCCTTCGTCTGTGGCTTGCTTGCTCACTCTTTGCGGGGGGTGATCGCTGCATTGTTCGATGGGTAGACACTTTTTGGTCACCTATCTCTCCCACAATCTTCGAGGAAAAGGCATGCTTTGTAATATTGATTCTCGATTCTCGTACTTTACCATGTCTTTTGTTGAGAGCCAATGGATTTTTATGCATATTGTTGACTTCGCAACTTCTTATTCATGTATCTGTTCATAGTTTATATATATATAGAAATGCTTGGTTACGACAAATGCTGCATCAGTATCAAATTCCAAGGGTACAAAGCAATCCTTTTTTACAGAGCATATAACATTTAATGATGCTTTGGCACTCTCGCTCCCGTTCTCCCTTTCGGCAATCAGCGGAATTCTTGTGCAGACTATTCACTTTGACACCAACGACGCCTGATCATCCAATTGGAGATTCCCCACATCACTCAATCATGTTCTTTTCAAACTTTTTGGTTGCTTTCCTGCGGATTTCACTAGATTTACTGACTCTGTAGAACGCTAGATCAGGAAGCATAGTTAAAAACTCCATTCATTCCTCATGCGCCACCATCTTACTCAATAAAAACAAAAAAACAAATCGTCGGATTTTTACAACTTTTTAATTAGCCATGGAAGCGGTTAAGATCCCCCATCCGTGCACCTCATTCCAAAATAACCCCAGCCCAATATGCGATCTAATTCTGCACCTCTGCAGCGCCCTAGAATACAAATCACAACGTTCAATTTTCCCTTCCCCCGCGAAAGTGTAGAGCTAATTCTTCAGGGGAAGGCGGACAAACTTCGGCTAAAGATCGACCCTCGCGGTCCGCCTAAATAAAGCAGCAGCCCCTCGTGGGTGCTCATCATTGCCTTCCCACAGAGGCCCATCGACCCTAAAAACAATAGAACCGGATGCCTTTTTCTGCATCTTTCACGTGAATGCCTTCCCCGTACCAGTGCCTCAATCAGGCACCATTCGAGGTGGACTTAATAAACAAATTCTGTTTCTTTTTTATTAGTTTTCCCAATGGGCTTTTTCCGGAGCTTTGTGTTGCCTGTTCCGATGGCCTTATCTCATAAAGCGAGCCTACCTTTACAGGAGATGTGTGAGAGCGAGAGACAAAGACACCCAGAAAAAAAACAACGAGACATAAGGAGAGAGAAAAAAGAGATCGTTCTGATGGGTTGCGTTGGTGGATGCCTAACCCTCGTAAAGCGTGCGCTTTTCTTGTGTGGATAGGGTAAGTTGTTCCCATTTCCATTTCCGCATTTCGCTGTTAAAAAGCTACGACTCGTGACAGCAAGTCAGCCACGCAAATCTCCAGCACTGCTCCCACGGTCACGCTTGCTCTTTTCCTCACCTCCTCCTCCTTTCAATTTTTCCCCTTCCTTCCCCTCCTTCTCTGACACACTTCAACACCGCTCCCCTCCAAAACCGGATTCCTGACTACCCAATTCCACAAATGCTATACAGTTCCACGACGAAGCCGCCCTTTCGCCATAGCGTAAAGCCCCATCGTCGTCGTCATCGATGCTGTGTTCCCCTGCTTTTAGGGTTAGGGTTTTAGAGTTTCTGCATGAGAATTTGGACACGTAGTAGCTCCTTTCTAGAGAGCAAAAATTTGACCTACCCGATGTAGTAAAGATTGGGAGATGCTTTTTTGTGGCTCTTTACTGAGAACTTTTTGTTGAAGTATCTTGGGGCAAGCAATCCACTAGAGAGATTGGGATTTTGCTCCATGTTCCAGTTCATGTTTAAAAGGTTCAAAAAAGTATATCCTCCATGGAAAGCTGCTTTTTCTGGTGCTCTGATAGGGAGCCCCCTTTTTTCTTTCTTCCCCCCCCCCCTTTTTTGGGGATTACTGGGTGTCATTTTATATCTGAAATTGTTCACACCACATTATTGTTTCTTAAATTACGAAAGGTGGGTTTCAATTGATTACTTATTTTTTTGAACAAATAGAGTGCATGAACTTTCTCAGATGCAACTTGCAACTGTAGATTCAAACACTGGGATTCTTTATACGATAAGAATAAACATTACAACAGGAATTAAAAATAAAAATAATGTTACATCCGAAGGAGCATTTAATAAAGAAGGTAAAGAAGTGAAACCTAAAGAAGTTAAAACAGGTTAAAATGACAAGCTTCGAACCAAGCTCCTGGCCACTCATTTATTGATTATATTGATAATAAAATGAAAATGCAAATTCTAAGTCACAAAGAGACAAAATATTGGAAAGTTTTGGACACCGAACATTCCTTTTTTTAGTGGGTGGGTGCCGAAAAAGGGGGTTAAACATGGGCTGAAAGTGGCACCTTTGGAGCATGTGGACAAGAGAAAGATTTGTATCTGAAGATCAGGACCCTTTTGTTGTTCTAAGTGGCCATTTTTTGAAGTAGATATCATTTGGAAACTAACTCTCTTTTTGCCTCATTTCTATTTATTTATTTATTTATTTATTTCTTCTTCTTCTTCTCGTATTGGAATCCTGGGTACCCTAAATATCGCGCACAAAGATGAAGTAAGTGGACGGACAAAAATTCTTAAATCCTTAAGATGTTATATAACATTGAGAAAAAAGTATCAAAAAGTATCAAAAAGCCGCAAGGCAACAAAATCAATAATAGTTGTGCAAAAAATAAAATAAAATAAAATGAAATTTAGAATCTAGAGGGAGAACCACATTTGTAGAAAAAACTTGTTTTTTTTGGATGATTCAAAAAAGTAAATTTCTCACTTTGTTTTTGTGTGCTTTTTTTTTTTGGTTGTGCATTCAAATGTAGAGTATGTGAAGTTGTTAACATTGTTGTTATTTATAATTATAAATGTGTCATTTCATTCTTATCATCAGTACACAATAATTTTAAAGGTTTGGATTTATTTTTATTTTTATTTTTTTTAATGAGTGGATCATGCATTACACGTATAATTGTACAAGTGTCTTTTTTGATAGATTAAAAAGTTATTCATTTATATATTTATTTATTATGAACTGTTTGGGTGACAAATCACATCAAACATAGCTCACTAAAATTAAAATGCTTCGTATTTTACATATTACTATAGCAGAATTCATGTAGAATTCAACTTACTGAAGATGGTGTGAAAAGGAAGATTGCCATTTTAATTCAGAGCCTAACACCATTTGGAGGTTTAGTGCTTTTGACTACAAAGTCTTTGATTAAAAAAAAAGATAAAAATATAAGAATATATTAAAAAAAGAATAAAAAGTGTAAAATGAGAAGAATCTCACATTGCAAAAGAATGCAAATTATCTGTTGAATTAGATAAATTCCCTAATTCCCTAATACAATTTTATAATACCTGTTAGAGCTTACTACTTTTATAATTACTATAACATACAATGCGAGTTACCTCAAAGACTGATAAATTAAGTTTCAGATTCAGATTTACTCATTTGATTGTTTAGTGGGTTGTGCTTTATATCAAAAATAAAACATGGTCGTTAAAAGGTAATTATTTTTTGCACACATGTATCCAAAAATAAATCCACTTAAATAAAGATAAAATGAATAATCGTTGGATAAAAATAGACGACATCAAATTTATAAAGTATTCATTTAAATTTTGCTCATTCAAACACATTGGGTAATTTTAAAATTCAGTATATATATATATATATATATATATTAGTAATTCAATCTTCACAAGTTGATTTGGATACATTTTATTCATAGAGGCGAGAAATAAAGACCAAAGTACAGATGATATCTAAAAAATGCATCAAAAAATGCTATTAAAAACAACATCCTATTCTCTCCTCACTTGACCTGGACACAATAGAATCTTCGTGTACTCATCCCTTGAATTTTGTTGGAATATCAATAGAAAGTAGTTAGTATCTTAAGAAAAAGATTAAGTTATTATAAAATTTGCATGTGGGCCAAGTTGGTTGATTTTAGAGGTGCGTTGAGTGAAACTTCAGAAATACCAAGTAATGCCACATTGTGTTTATTTTACCGATTAGTGTTTTGTTGCCAGGTTGTGCACAGATATGTATTCTCAGGAAGCTTATCATTATTACTTTTTTAATTTTTAATTTTATTTTATACATTGAGTTTTTTCAGGGGTTGTAAGGTTATCATAAGTAGAGATGCTTTCATCAAATTTAATGCAATTTTTAAGCTGAAAAAACGATCACAAATCCCATTCATGGCCTAGCACATGAACAAGAATAAGGCACATTAAAGGTCAATGATTAAAAAAATTGAAATTTATTACGTGTAATCACACTCTCAAAGTAGATTGATTACTTAATTAAAGTAGTACTAATATTTTAGTAATAGAATTATTTTACTTCTTTTCTTACAACAACACATGATTCTAAATGGTGGCATTGTTTTTTGATGGATGAAGAGATGGAAGAATTTTCATTAATCCATTGATAGTATAATTCTGCACTGTTTTCATAGTGCACATTGTTATATTGCATGTGATGAATGCACAGATTTGGAAGGCTATGAAATTAAGTAAAATTGATGATGATTTCAATGAACAAATAATTTAATGAATAAATGAATGAGTAAAGCAAATTGAATGCATTCTTTTCAAACAAAAAAAATGTTGTTCTTGTGTCTTAGGTCAAATTGAGAGAAAAGTAGATTTGAATGTAAAAGGACATGAGAAAAAGAAACGAATTAATGAGTGTACTAACAGATTTTTTATTACCTAATTATTTGAATAATTTGAATATTTAATTTATAAGAGCACAAAGCATCATTTTAGACATTAGAAATAAAATTGTAGTAATTATATGTGGATTACTAGGATAGCTTCATCTTTTCAGATATGACACATGTTTGACATTTGAAAATTACAATCATTCAATTCTACAGATTTTATATGTTTTCTTTACTATATTAATAAATTATTAATCTATGATCATGTACCAGTAAATCATTGAATCTTTTACCTAAAGAATTTATTTTATTTTATTTCCATGTATGAATGAAAATGAATTGAATACATGCTTCACCATTCTTACTTAATTTAATTAATATTCCACTATTTTTTTTATATAATTGAAACAGAGCAAAATTAATACGTCCATCCACCAATCAAATATTAATTTATTCTACCAAAATTAATCCTTCAGAAACTTGATGTTTCAAAAGTT